AAGAAGATCTGAAGAAGAAAGAGAAAATTCTAGAGAGAAGTCAGACCTTCTCTCTCTAAAAAGAAATCTAAACCCTAAACCCTAAACCCTAAACCCTAAACCCTAAACCCTAAACCCTAAACCCTAAACCCTAAACCCTAAACCCTAAACCCTAAACCCTAAAACCCTAAAACCCTAAACCCTAAACCCTAAACCCTAAACCCTAAACCCTAAACCCTAAACCCTTTTTTTTTTTTTTTTTTTTTTAAAGAAACCAAGAATTTTTATTCCATAAACCAAAATTTACAATCAAAGAAAAAGCAGACATGCCTGCCTTTACAATTTGCTATTACCAAAATACCAAGAAAATCAAGAAAATACAATTTTCTTTCTAAAGTATTTATGCCTATTTTTATCAAACAGCAACAATCTCCTGGCTGGAAGAGGAATGTCCGAGGCCACAGAAAATTCCATAGAACATCCACATTGCACAGCCCAATTTGCAAAAAAATCAGCTACTGAATTTCCTTCTCTGTACACATGTGTCAACTGAAAATTTAATCTCCCCAAAATTTCCTTAATCTGCCTCATCAACTCCCAGTATTTCCAAGCACGTAAATGCCCTTTCATAAGCATATTAACCATAATTTCAGAATCCGCCTCCACTTGTATTCGGTACCCCAACAAATCATATTTTTCAACAAGACATAAACCATCTTTTAAAGCCCTTAATTCTACTTCCATGTTAGAACAGTGTCCATAATAGAAAGATCCTGCAATTACCAAGTCACCCCATTGATTTCGAATCACTGCACCCCCACCAGCACATCCCGGATTCCCTTTCGAAGCTCCATCCACGTTTAATTTCAAACATCCCTCCATTGGACTAAACCAATTAACCCATATTGCTTTTATTTCAATTTTTCCACAACTATTAACTCCCAATTCCTGCAACAGTTTCTTTCCATTCATACTGTCAGAAATTTTTGGCCGAATTCCAAAAGCTTGTAGCTTAACAATGCTGCAAGTATTCTTGAAAATAGAAAAGGCAGACAAACATCCTTCTCCATAAACTCTTCTACATCTCTCTCTCCATAATAACCAAAACACAACCAAAGCCACACTCCTTACTAGGATATGACTAAGAGACTGTTTTTTGAAAATTCTTACAAGTCTCATTAATCTTCCCATAGGACCTTCATTCTCAATCAAATTAAAACCAAAAAAACCAGCCAAGTGTTGCCATACCTGTGCAGCAAATTCACATTGAATGAAGACATGAGCTCCACTTTTCATTGCTTTATAACATAGCGAACACCTGCTGGCTAACTTCACCCCCAATTTCTGAAACCTCACATCCAAAGCCACTGCATTTCTTTTAATTTTCCAGCAAAACAACTTCGCACTAGGCGGAGCTGCCTGTGCCCATATCGCCTTAACCACCACTTCTTCATTTCCAGCCTGTCTTGCCAAATGCCAAGCTGACTTCACCGAAAACTGCCCAGAATCACTCAATTCCCATACCAGAAAATCAGTACTATCAGATAGAATAATTCTCGAATTCGTAATCTCTTCTTTCATTCCATCATCCACTAAACCACCCAACATCTGCCACTGCCAAGCATTATCTTTATACACTTCTGCAATTCTTGGAAAATCTTGAGGCATTACCCCAAGTCTACTCAATAACGGCCCAGATTTGAGCCACTTAGAACACCAGAAATCCACTAACTCTCCATTCCCAACAATAAATCGAGAATGAGATACCACAGTTGAAAACCAAGGTTGCAGCATACGAAAAACCTTAGCTTTCCTTTGTCCCAAATTCCTCAATACATGCTGATCTTTCAAAAATCTTGCAGAGAAAACCTTCGCCCAAAGAGACTTCCCCTGCAAAATATTCCAGACCTGCTTCATACGAAAAGCAGCTTGAATATCTTCAAATTTTCTAATCCCCAAACCCCCTTCCTGCTTTGGCCGTGTTATATCATCCCAAGAAATCAAATGTCGCTTTTTAACTCCCTCTTTACCAGACCAAACAAAAGAAGCCATCAAAGAATTTATTCTATTCAAAATACCTTTGGGCAGATTCAAGCAAGACATTAAATGCACTGGTACTGCATTTAAAACATTCTGTACCAAAACAACTCTTCCCATATTAGACAGCAATTTAGCATACCATCCTTCCAACTTAGCTTTAAATTTCAGAACTAAATCTTCAAAGTCTCTAATTCTGCTCCTCCCCTTAATCATAGGACAACCCAAGTACGTGAAGGGACATTCTTTTATAGGAATCTGAGCAACTCGAGATAAAATCATTTTCCTTCCCTGAGAAATCTTTGCAGAACAGAAGATTGAGCTTTTCGGCCTGCTAATCCTCTGTCCCGAACTTGCTTCATACTTACTTAAAAAAGAAAACAATACCTCCAGTGAGATTTTATTTCCTTTCAAAAAGAGCAAAGTATCGTCAGCAAATGAGACACCATTATAGCCCCTCTCCCAGTATGAAAAGGCTTAATCTTCCTCTCATCAAACAACTTCAACAGCCCCCTACTCAAAACTTCTTCTGCTATAATAAAAAGCAACGGGGATATTGGATCCCCTTGCCTCAACCCCCTTGATGTAGGAAAAAAACCTTTCCTCTGACCATTTAAGCATACTGAAATGAATTGATTATTCAAGCAATTTCCAATAATGGACACAAAAAGATCAGAAAAACCAAAACATCTCAAAGTCTTCTTCAAAAAATCCCATTCGATACGATCATACGCCTTCATCATATCAAGCTTAACTATTATATTACCTGCCTCCACCTTTCTATCCAGCTCAGAAACCATATACTGAGCTAGTGAAATACATTCCCCTATACTGCGCCCTTTCACAAAACCATGTTGTGCATCCGAAATCAAAGAAGGCAAGAAAACAGCTAACCTGTTAGCAAGCAACTTTGTAAAAATTTTATACAAGAAGTTGCATAAACTAATAGGTCTAAACTCTGCAAAACTTGTTGGATTTATTTTCTTTGGAATCAATGCCAACAAAGTAGCATTCACCGACCTTGGCACAACTCCACCTTCTAGAAAAAAATTTGTAGCTTTTAACAAATCTTCTTTAATCACATTCCAGGCCACTTGATAAAACTTCCCAGAAAACCCATCAGCACCTGGTGCACTTTCCACTGCCATTGAGAACACCACACTCTTCAGTTCTGCCATAGAAGCCAGACAAGTCAGCGATTCATTATTTGATTCACTCACAAGAAACGGAATTTCCTCAAACAATACTTCATCCAAAACATGATCCTCAGATTTATATAAGGATGCAAAAAAACTCACTGCTTGATCAGCAATCTCATCTTCAGAACAAGCCCAACTCCCATTCTCACATTTAATTCTTTTTATACTATTTCTGACTGCCTTCCCTTTAGCTATAGCATGATAAAATTTTGTATTCCTTTCTCCTTCTAAAGCCCACTTTACATTTGCTTTTTGTTTCCAAAACATTTCTTCCAACCTCAAGGTATCATCCAAACTCTTTCTTGCTTTCTCCAAATTCAAAAGACTGCTCTCTGAAAAATCAGCCTCCAATGTTCTTTCAGCATTACACACTTCCATCTCCTGTAACTTGATTTTTTCAAATATATTCCCAAAAACTTCTTTATTCCATCCTCTCAGTCGAACTTTTAGAAATTTTAACTTTAAGAAAAAATCCTCAATAGGATTACTAGAAAAACAACCACGCCACACATCCACAACCAGTGGCAAAAAAGAAGCCTCTTCAGTCCACATATCCAAAAATTTGAAATAAGAAATTCGTTGTTGCCCAGTTTTTTCCGTTACCTTCACCACCAGAGGACAATGATCTGAGCTTCCTCTCGCTAAATGTACCACCTGAGAATTATCAAACTTAGCATTCCAAATAGGATTTATGAAAACCCTATCCAAACGCTGCCAAATTCTTGTTCCCCCCTGATGATTATTACACCAAGTATAACTACTCCCCTCAAAACCACAATCCACCAGCCCAGCCGCATGTATACAATTACCAAAATCCTCCATCGCAACAACAGAAGGGTAAGCACCTCCCAATCTCTCCCGTGAACACAACACCGTATTGAAATCTCCCATTAGTAACCAAGGCATAGAAAAAGATGAAGAAATTACTTGTATATGTTGCCATAAAGGCCTTCGTAACAAATAATCACAACACGCATACACAACTGTCACAAGAATGGGATCAGAATCCAAGCAACAAACAGATACAGTAATAGCCTGCTCATGTTCCAAAATCACCTTCACATCTACTCCCTCCTTCCAAAACAACCATATATTCTTCTCCGCTTGAGTATTTGCCACAAAAAAACGCAATCCCACTGATACAGAAAAAGATTTCATCCTTACTGCCAACATTTTTGGTTCTAATACAGCCAAAAAACTAACTTTATTCATCACCACAAGTTTTTTTAATCTGATTCTCATACTTTCATTACCAGCCCCTCTCACATTCCACATTATTAAATTCATAATGAAGACATGTGTTCAGGATTAACCTCAGGACTCTGCCTTATTTCCAAACCATGAACCTCTTCATCATCAGAAAATCTTTCCGATAAATCCGCCCAAGTCTTCGAACTATCTTGATCAGATAAGAAACCTTTTTCAAGTAGCTCATTTTCCTTCACCAAACCAGCATTATCATCCTGAGACACTTGCAATAATTGTCTAACATCATAATGTCTATCCACAAAAAAAGAAGAATCTGAAGAAAGAGATGCTTGCCTGTTTAAACAACACACAGTATCATCTATTCCCTCCCCTTTCTCCTTTTCTCTCATCTTTCCACTTTTTCCTCCCTCATTCCCAGTAAAAAAAGAAGACTTGTCATTTACATGAAAAGAAACTTCTCGTTCAACTAGCACTACACAATTATCCCTACTCCCCTTCTCCATTAACGTAACTGATGCCTCTCCTTCTACCCCTTGACTTTCAGGTAACTCTGGTTCTCTAATCTCCTCACAAGATTTAGAGTCTTGCACCCCCCCTCACAATTAAAGGAACATTTTCAGCAACTTCCCCTGATTTTGACATTCTCATCTGCATTTCAGAACCCTGATCAACTTCAATAGGAACATTCATTTCTGTAATCAAATCATTTACTTTATCCACCCCTTCAACTTCCACATTTTCTCTACCTGAAACATTTAAGATTTCCTCCTCTACTTCATGCAAACAACTTTTTCCCCCAATTTGTGCAGCTGGCTCAATCAAATTGTCTCCACTTTCCACAATATTACTCTGTTCCTCAAAAGCCAGAGCACTGAATCTATTTCCAGTCTCTGGCTTATGAACAACTTCTTTTCTTTTAAAAGCTTGTTTCTGATTTCCTCCTGGCATAGTCTGTGCAATTCCTTTCCCTTTATCAGCAACATTTATCACAACATGGTCCACTCCACTTTGAATATTGATCTCTTTCTGCTGGTTTACCTCAACATTCTGCCCATTCCCTTTCTCATCATCCCCTTTTACAATCCTCTTTTTCCTACAAGTATTTCCATCATGCCCCTGTTTCAGACAAGCAGCACAATACCTAAAATCCTTCTCATATACTATTTTTTGCCATCTACCACTATTCCCCCCCATGTCAAGCCAGAATCTTCTAGGATTAGACTGCAACAAGTTAACTTCCACACACACCCTCGCCACTCCTGGCCTAGTCAGCTGCAAAGTTGAATTATCAAACACCAATATTTTCCCAATTGGACTCAAAATATCTCGAAGACTCTCTCTATTAAAGAGATGAACAGGAAGCCCAGGCAACGATATCCACATTGGAACAATTGGAGGTTCAATTCCTGGAAGAAATTCCGGGAACCATTTAAAAAATCTGAACAAAAAACCTTCTATATATGTAGCATCTTTCAGCCATGTCTTCACATAATCCTCCAGAAGACTAAAACGAATAAGAATGTGTCTAGGATCTAAAATACCTATCGAGAAATCACCTTTGGGAAGCCACTTTGTAGCAATAAACTCTCGAATAACTCCCAGTGAAGGCTTACCATATGCGCATTTCCCTATTAGAGTTTGACTGAAACCCTTCGACAACTCTAATGTTTCTTCAGAGGTCCAATACATTCCAGGTTCACCATTGTTGTAAACAACCCTCTTCGCTGGTTTGGGAATCCCAGTCGAAGTTAACAATCCATTTCCCAGAGATGAGTTACCAGAATCCACCAAAGGAACATTCGCGATCGAAGACTGTCGTGGAACAGGTAGATGAGAATCTAAAGAAGTTTGAGGAACCAGAGAACTCTGAATCGATGGAGGACGCTGAATCCCTGATGAATCTTGGCCGAAAAAGTTAATTTGAGGAAAAGAAGAAGATCGAGAAATTGGATGGTTTGAAGATCTGTGAGAAACACCGGGTTCTTGAGAAATTTGGGGAAAAAGAATCGATTGAGATACCAAAGGTAAAGTCAGAGGCATAGAAGATTGGGTACCCACACAAACTGCTGAAGACGAAAGGTCCAGTCCAGGATTTTGATCAGAACGAGAAGAGTCTGCATTCCCAACGTTCGCGATAACCGAGGGTTTCTTGAAAAGAGAAGCAAAATTTTTTTTAATATCCGGGGGTTTTGGGGAATTGGATGCTGGATTGTACCCGATTCCATGTAGAAAAGTCAAAGAATGATCAAAAAAATCTGGATCTGACACAAGAATCAAGAAAGTGAAATCAAATCAAAAAATCAATGGAAATTTTTTAGAGAGAAGTGAGAGCTTCTCTCTCTAGAATTGAATGCTGCCTCCCTCACTCCTAAACCCTAAACCCTAAACCCTAAACCCTAAACCCTAAACCCTAAACCCTAAACCCTAAACCCTAAACCCTAAACCCTAAACCCTAAAACCCTAAACCCTAAAACCCTAAAACCCTAAACCCTAAACCCTAAACCCTAAACCCTAAACCCTAAACCCTAAACCCTAAACCCTAAACCCTAAACCCTAAACCCTAAAACCCTAAACCCAAAAACCTAAACCCTAAAACCCAAACCCTAAACCCTAAAACCCTAAACCCTAAACCCTAAACCCTAAAACCCTAAAACCCTAAACCCTAAACCCTAAAACCCTAAACCCTAAACCCTAAACTGATTAAAATAAAAAATATCTTATGTGTGGAGTCTGAATAAATTGGCTGCGCTAAATTTACACTCCTATGAATTATTATTAATTTTTTCAATTCATTCCCAAAATGGAAAAAATGGGATTGTCAAACAATTAAAAATTACAGAATTATTGTTAATAGGACATTTCAGTCTAACATATTAAAATGAAAAGTTCGTACAGTGTGCAATCTGAAAATATTTGCGGCGCTGAATTCAGACTCGCCTACGATTTTTTATAATGTTTTCAAATTCTTTCCCAAAATGGAAAAATGAATTATCAAAGAAATAAAAATAGCACAAATATTATTAAAAATGCAATCTATCCAATTAAAATAAAAATTAATTAATGCCAGGGTCTAAATAATATGGTCGTGCCAAATTTAGAGTCCCTTATGGTTTACTATTTATTTTTTGAACTCATTTCTCAAATGAAAAATGGGATTATGAAAGAATTCAAAATTATGGAAAAATTATGAAAAAAAATAAAAATTGCCATCCAACTGAGTAAAATATAAAGTACGTATGGTTTGGAGTCTAAAACAACTGGCTGCACAAAAATTGGACTCTTCAATGATTTATAGTTAATTTTCCAAAATTTTTCCCAAATTGGAAAAAAGAGATGATCAGAGAATTAGAATTTGCACAATAATTTAAAAAAATTGCAATCCAACTAAATAAAAGGAAAAATACATGTTGTCTGCAGTCCAAAAAATTTGCAGCGCTGAATTTGGACACTCTGATGATTTATTATTAATTTTTTTAATTCGTTTCTAAACTAAAAAAAGATGGGGTTGTCAAAGAATTGAAAATAGCAAAATAATTATTAAAAAATATAAAATCACAACCTAATTGATTAAAATAAAAAGTACGTATTGTAAGAAGACTAAAAACATTGACCACGCTGAATTCGGACTGTTCTACGATTTATTATTAATTTTTTGAATTCTTTTCTAAAATGGGAAATTTTAGGCGACCAATGAATTAAAAATAGGGAAAAAAATAATTAAAAAAATAGAAAATTACAACCTTACTGATTAAAAGAAAATGTACGTATAGTCTTAGGCCTAAAAACAATTGGTCGCGCTAAATTTGGACTCCCCTACAATTTATTAGTAATTGTTGGAATTATTTCCTAAAATAGAAAAATAGAAATCATCGAAGAATGAAAAATAGGAAACAATTCTTAAAAAATAGAGAATTACAATTTAAAATAAAAAATATCTTATGTGTGGAGTCTGAATAAATTGGCTGCGCTAAATTTACACTCCTATGAATTATTATTAATTTTTTCAATTCATTCCCAAAATGGAAAAAATGGGATTGTCAAACAATTAAAAATTACAGAATTATTGTTAATAGGACATTTCAGTCTAACATATTAAAATGAAAAGTTCGTACAGTGTGCAATCTGAAAATATTTGCGGCGCTGAATTCAGACTCGCCTACGATTTTTTATAATGTTTTCAAATTCTTTCCCAAAATGGAAAAATGGATTATCAAAGAAATAAAAATAGCACAAAAATTATTAAAAAATGCAATCTATCCAATTAAAATAAAAATTAATTAATGTCAGGGGTCTAAATAATATGGTCGTGCCAAATTTAGAGTCCCTTATGGTTTACTATTTATTTTTTGAACTCATTTCTCAAATGAAAAATGGGATTACCAAAGCATTCAAAATTATGGAAAAATTATTAAAAAAAATAAAAATTGCCATCCAACTGAGTAAAATATAAAGTACGTATGGTTGGAGTCTAAAACAACTGGCCGCACAAAAATTGGACTCTTCAATGTTTTATAGTTAATTTTCCAAAATTTTTCCCAAATTGGAAAAAAGAGATGATCAGAGAATTAGAATTTGCACAATAATTAAAAAAATTGCAATCCAACTAAATAAAAGGAAAAATACATGTTGTCTGCAGTCTAAAAAAATTTGCAGCGCTGAATTTGGACACTCTGATGATTTATTATTAATTTTTTTAATTCGTTTCTAAACTAAAAAAAGATGGGGTTGTCAAAGAATTGAAAATAGCAAAATAATTATTAAAAAATATAAAATCACAACCTAATTGATTAAAATAAAAAGTGCGTATTGTAAGAAGACTAAAAACATTGACCACGCTGAATTCGGACTGTTCTACGATTTATTATTAATTTTTTGAATTCTTTTCTAAAATGGGAAATTTTGGGCGACCAATGAATTAAAAATAGGGAAAAAAATAATTAAAAAAATAGAAAATTACAACCTTACTGATTAAAAGAAAATGTACGTATAGTCTTAGGCCTAAAAACAATTGGTCGCGCTAAATTTGGACTCCCCTACAATTTATTAGTAATTGTTGGAATTATTTCCTAAAATAGAAAAATAGAAATCATCGAAGAATGAAAAATAGGAAACAATTCTTAAAAAATAGAGAATTACAATTTAACTGATTAAAATAAAAAATATCTATTGTCTGGAGTCTGAATAAATTGGCTGCGCTAAACTTACACTCCTATGAATTATTTTTAATTTTTTCAATTCATTCCCAAAATGGAAAAAATGGGATTGTCCGACAATTAAAAATTATAGAATTATTGTTAATAGGACAATTAAAAATTATAGAATTATTGTTACTGAAAATATTTGCGGCGCTGAATTCAGACTCGCCTACGATTTTTTATAATGTTTTCAAATTCTTTCCCAAAATGGAAAAATGGATTATCAAAGAAATAAAAATAGCACAAAAATTATTAAAAAATGCAATCTATCCAATTAAAATAAAAATTAATTAATGTCAGGGGTCTAAATAATATGGTCGTGCCAAATTTAGAGTCCCTTATGGTTTACTATTTATTTTTTGAACTCATTTCTCAAATGAAAAATGGGATTACCAAAGCATTCAAAATTATGGAAAAATTATTAAAAAAAATAAAAATTGCCATCCAACTGAGTAAAATAAAAAAGTACGTACGGTGTGGAGTCTAAAACAACTGGCCGCACAAAAATTGGACTCTTCAATGTTTTATAGTTAATTTTCCAAAAATTTTCCCAAATTGGAAAAAAGAGATGATCAGAGAATTAGAATTTGCACAATAATTAAAAAATATTGCAATCCAACTAAATAAAAGGAAAAATACATGTTGTCTGCAGTCCACAAAAATTTGCAGCGCTGAATTTGGACACTCTGATGATTTATTATTAATTTTTTTAATTCGTTTCTAAACTAAAAAAAGATGGGGTTGTCAAAGAATTGAAAATAGCAAAATAATTATTAAAAAATATAAAATCACAACCTAATTGATTAAAATAAAAAGTACGTATTGTAAGAAGACTAAAAACATTGACCACGCTGAATTCGGACTGTTCTACGATTTATTATTAATTTTTTGAATTCTTTTCTAAAATGGGAAATTTTAGGCGACCAATGAATTAAAAATAGGGAAAAAATAATTAAAAAAATAGAAAATTACAACCTTACTGATTAAAAGAAAATGTACGTATAGTCTTAGGCCTAAAAACAATTGGTCGCGCTAAATTTGGACTCCCCTACAATTTATTAGTAATTGTTGGAATTATTTCCTAAAATAGAAAAATAGAAATCATCGAAGAATGAAAAATAGGAAACAATTCTTAAAAAATAGAGAATTACAATTTAAAATAAAAAATATCTATGTCTGGAGTCTGAATAAATTGGCTGCGCTAAATTTACACTCCTATGAATTATTTTTAATTTTTTCAATTCATTCCCAAAATGGAAAAAATGGGATTGTCCGACAATTAAAAATTATAGAATTATTGTTAATAGGACATTTCAGTCTAAAATATTAAAATGAAAAGTACGTACAGTGTGCAATCTGAAAATATTTGCGGCGCTGAATTCAGACTCGCCTACGATTTTTTATAATGTTTTCAAATTCTTTCCCAAAATGGAAAAATGGATTATCAAAGAAATAAAAATAGCACAAAAATTATTAAAAAATGCAATTAAAATAAAAATTAATTAATGTCAGGGGTCTAAATAATATGGTCGTGCCAAATTTAGAGTCCCTTATGGTTTACTATTTATTTTTTGAACTCATTTCTCAAATGAAAAATGGGATTACCAAAGCATTCAAAATTATGGAAAAATTATTAAAAAAAATAAAAATTGCCATCCAACTGAGTAAAATAAAAAGTACGTATGGTGTGGAGTCTAAAACAACTGGCCGCACAAAAATTGGACTCTTCAATGTTTTATAGTTAATTTTCCAAAAATTTTCCCAAATTGGAAAAAAGAGATGATCAGAGAATTAGAATTTGCACAATAATTAAAAAAATTGCAATCCAACTAAATAAAAGGAAAA